TCATAGAACTTCATCCTTCATATTTTAATGTGATAACTGATCTTAACTTGCACAAATAATTATTTTTGCGCACAGTGCAGGAAGCTAACTGTGCATAAATCATGGCCTCAGAAAGCATCTAGAGCAGGGGTGTCCAACCTTTTAGTTTCTCTGGGTCGCATTAGAAGAAGTCAAGGAGTTTTGGGCCACAAGTATATATAATATATTCTTGTGGCTCAATATACAAGTATATTTAATTAAGGATTAACATGTCTAGATTATAATAATAAGTATTAAATCTTTATCACGAAAAAAGGCTATTTTTAAAAATTACTTCTACAGACACTTTCAATTTTTACTTAGAAATAGATAAATTCATTTATTATAAAAGAGACAAACGAAAATTTATTTGAAAAACGCAAATATTTGTTTTATTTGGGCCTCTAATTAATAAAAAGCGACGAAACACCATTTTAATTAAAGTGAATTTTTATTCAACTAATATATTTATAAATAATATGTAGCCCAAGAAGTAGCCAAAGCGCCAAATGATATTTTTTACGTCAAACAAAAAAAAGTAGCCACATTTGGCGCAAATGTAGCCAAATCTTGCAATTTTGGAAGAAACACTAAATAAAGCTGGAGTTGTGACTAAAAGGATTATAGACCCAAATGCGAGAAAAAGAGAGAAAGGACAAAAGATAAAGAAGTGAGAAAAGTTGGAAAATTAAGGGCCAACATTTGCATTACAGAAGATCTATTTAACCTTTCTCATTACTTTTTATCTTTTGTCCTTTCTCATCTTTCCCTCCTTTTCCCAAATTTGGGTCTTTAATTTAATAATTTATTCATCTACCACCCATCGCTTTTTTACTGTGACAAACAAATATTTGAGAACTGAGATCGTTTCTGATCTTTATTAAATAGTTAAACGAATAAAAGTTTGTGAAACATATTTTAGATCACTCTAGATCAGGGGTGTCCAACCTGCGGCCCAAGGCTAGTTCCAATGCGGCCTAATAAACGTGTAAATAAAACCGACAAATGTTTTAATTTTTTTATTATTTAATTATTTCAACGGCATAAACTCAAAAAAGAAGTTTCAGAAAGTCGTAAACCTTTATTCATATTTTATTTTTGAGTGGAAAGGAAATATTTTCAAATACTTGGAGTTGTGTGAATGATGAAGGATTACTAAATAAAGCTGGATTTGTGACTCAAAGGAATTAAGGTATGTTTACCACTTTTTTTGAGTTCCTAAATGTAACGTTTCCACAATAATCTCTACTTTATCGTCACGATACTTACAACGAGAAACAATCTAATGAAAGTTCTATGAGAGATTACGTTGTCTTTAAAAACGTATGTATCACAAATACATTGTAACATGAGCCCTGAACGCGACTTCCTCCAAATTGCACGGATCAGACAGAACACTAAGAACTGGTTGGTTCGGTAGCACTGATGTTAACAAAACTTTGACTTGTTTCACCTCAGTTTGTAAATGCCATTAGGAAATTAGAGGAAAATTGTTATTTATCAAATATTGATATAGAATAGAGAAATTTAAAACTATTAGATTGAATTTGTTAATAAAGATGCGATGTCTAACAAGTAAGCCTAAATAGGAGTATTGGCCTGATGACCGAGTGATCAAGGTGGCAGCCTGCCACTCTGGGAAACCCGGGATAGAATCCGAACAGGTCGAAACATCCCCAGGAATTTTTCGGGGAGTGGTCCGTCCGGATATGTTGAACCCCGTCTCTCACCACCCGGCCGCCCCATTGTAGGTCTGGCCGAATCCATAACGGGCTTGCTAAAAGTGGCCCTTCTAGTGCCCACAGAGCGGAAAGAGTTTTAAAAAAGCCTAAATAGGACATAAATTCTAATATAGGGGCTATACTACTTTTCTACCTCCTGGATAATACTGTACTATCTTGTACAGTACGGTATAAATGTTTCTACGTGATAAATAAATAGACTACTCTATATTAATAAAATAACAAAAACCAAAATAAAGTTATAATCTTTCCAACTTGACAGTTGTCAAAACAGACTAAACCACATTTCGCTCAGTTGTAGGGAAGGATAAGCAGAACAGACAATTTGATTTTGAGTACAGATCAAGAAAGAAGTAGGGCACTTATTTCCGTGCTCTTTGCTGAAAGAGAACGTATTTTACACTTTTAATGGAATAAAACGCAGGATAAAAATAATTTTCATTGGAGCGGTAGGCTGTCACCTTGACCGCTCGGCCATCCGGCCAATGCTAGACATTGTAAAAGAAGACGAATTGGAAGACGTTTTAAATTCTATTGATTCTGAAAAGAACAATGAGTATAAAGAGAAAGTGAATGATAACACAGCTGTAAATGAACAAACTCAGCAGTTTAAAGGCACAATCCTTATAGCTTCATCTTGAACCCAGGAATTATAACATCAAGACTTTATTTGCTCTGTTTATTTAAAATCAATTAGTGTTCTTCATTAGTATCCAGACTGTGGACAAAACATCCATGCTATTTGTGGAAATTCTTTTGGTGTACGAGAAGAGGAATTTGGCGCGCCTATTACTTGTCCTTTTTATTTCCAAAATAACAAAGCCCCTAGTTGTTGACAAGACTCTAAAATAAATATAGACTTTCAGGCAAAGAAAATAAAAAGACTCCGAAAACAACTTCTCCGTTCGCTCCGTTAAACAAGATTTTGCAGTTCGTATTCCGGTCCTAGAAGTAGACAAAAATAGAAGAAATGCTCGAAACATTTTTGCTTTTGTAATAAATTGATGAACGATTGAATGAAAACCGAAGCGTTCTGAAACAGCTTCACTCAATATCACAGTTTACAATGTGTAAAGAGACTCTTATAACACTGATGTACCCAAGGATAAAGAAGTGCCTTTCAGGTCAGCAGCAACGGAGCAATAAATGAGTACTTCACAAATCATTATAAAGTGCGAAAATAGATGCCAGAATCTAAAGTACTTTTGCTGAAAAGTTCTTTATAATTCAAAATCCCATTAAGTGCTGCACGCTGTAATAAATGAGCCAGTTAGAAGAATGAGTAAAATAACTGACACGTTATTTTACTTTACTTTGACACGTTCAACTTTATTTCATTAAAGATCGTTATTATGTAGGCCAGGTGTTTTATACAAAATGCCCTATATAACAAGTTGAAAATAACTATTTAATAATGTTGATTATTTTTAATATTGTTTACATATTAACAAATTTGTATATGTTTATTTTCTATGTCAATTTTTCGAATAAATATCGAACTCTATTACAAAATATATGAAATGGTGGTTTATCATCCACCTGGCGACAAAAGTAGGCAAAACACGGTTTTTCAGAGCGAAACAAAACATTGCACCGACCGCAACGTCGGAAGCCGAATGAGTTCAGAAAAGATTGATGGATTGTATGAAGGTAAATATTAATCTTACAATACATTATAAACATATATTATGCTAAACTCGATAATAGTTGAAATGTAGTAAACTTTAACGATTTAGCGCACCTGTAACATTTTCAAATCGATGATTAATTAAACATTTATAGTAAAAAAAAAAATTCGGAAAGTTTTAATGGTTTCTTTATAAAAATAACCATTAAAAGCACAGTTCTAATACATTCAAACGAATGTATAATCAAAGCTTTAAACGTGGCATTTATTTTTATTGAAATAACTTTAAGTATTCGTTATACATTTACTTGTTGGTAACAGGAAATTCACCCAAGTTATCTGCTAGTTTGTTGCCCTTTGTAATAATCTATTGATAATAAATATATATTTTTCTTCATAACAGTTTTGCAAGTTGAAATGGTCAAGCAATTTATAACCTAAATAAATGTATTTAGTCCAGTTATACATGTGTTTTAAAAAAGAAAATAGGTTAGTTTTGATGTTGTTGACTTTATTATATATGTTTTAAATTGTAATAATAAATACTGTTTCAAATATGTAATTATATTATTATTTAAACAAATAGAAAATTTGTTATCTATATTAATGTTTGTTTTGATAAAATAGAAATTTCAAATCAACTGCTTGGTGAAAAATATTTTCTAAAGTTAATTATTTTTATTGTAATGTGATAATAAGTTAAGTTATTTATCTGATGTAATCCGCCGGTGGCTGAGTGGTTTTTTCCCCCAAATGCAGGGAGTTCGGTTGCAGGTTTGTGCCTGGCCGGATGGAGTTTTCCAGGTTTTCTCCACATCTGTAATGCCCAAATGGGGGGGAAACGAAGATGTATGGAATTTTTAAATTCCGTACACCCTGAATTTAAAAATTATGTTTCTTTGGAACAGTGTTTTTCAACCTGTGGGTTGCGACCCACAGGTTAAAAAACAACCCCCCTGGGGGTTGCAAAGCCTTACACAGGGGTCGCGGGTAAAAGAAAAAGACAAGTGTTTGTAGGTCCTACACTACAATAAAAAAACCTACAATTTCAGTGAGAAAAGCTGTACCTATTTATTTTACAGTATAATTGGTTTTTCAATCGATATTTAGGTCTCAACAGAAAGAAAATTAAATACAGTATGTAGTTTTTAAAATCACTGATATAGTTTTAATATGGCCCTGGGGGGGTTGCCAGAAGTTTTTAACTTGTAAAGGGGTCGCGTATTCAAGAAGGTTGAAAAACACTGCTTTGGAACATTTTGCATGTTTGTTTCGTTAAAATTTGTTCATTTCACCTGAAGATGACGGTTATACACTCATCGAAAGTGCTTGTGTTAATACTAAAGGAACTTTATTAATGCTGAACTCAGTGAATTTGTATCCAGAAAGCCCAAATAGGGGCCAGTTACTCTTAAAAAGACCTCCCGAAAGGCATCCCCCTAGGCAGAGTGCCCAAGTGTTGCATTGCCATAACTTAACAAATCAAACATACATAATTAAATTTTTAATTGATCACAAAAACTTATTATTTAGAAAATAATAAATCATAAGAAATGACAAAGCAAGAAAACAAAATTTAAACAAATTTTTCATACTTAACTGCATGCTTTGTACTGTATGAAATTCCATATACAAATTAAAACATTACATCAAGAATTACTTAAGAATAATAATTTAGCTAATGAGTTAAATAGGATTTATGTTTAAACTAGTGAAAAATATTAAAATAAATTTTACTGTCAGATGGAAAAACAGGCGACGATGCTCTTCTTCGTGAAACGGGAGACTGAGAAGGGACAGGTATGTGCTGAAATTTTTTGTTTAAAATTGATCTTGAAGAGCCAGTGAGATATTTGCATTCTAAAAATGAAAAAATTTATTTTAATAACTGTTATTTAAAAGGTCATCTATAGCATAATATAGCTTTTACAGTAAACCTTTGATTGAATTCATCTTTGTATAAAAAATACTTTGACAAAAGTATCTTTTTGTACAACTTCCCTTCTGAGGCATATTTTATTAATATTAGTCTATCATATATGAAACAAAAAAGTTATTGTAAAATTCATTACAGTAATACCCTGAGTTATACAAGTAATGTTGACCTTTATGTAAGTTGAATTTGTAAATTGCTTCAGTATAACTACATAATTAATAACTCAATATTGTATTTATTATTATACATGTACTGTACATATATTATTTATTATTTTTTTTTGTATAATTTGATTTGTTGCATTTTAATGGTACAGTACTGTAAATATTACATGTACAATGGTACAGTACTGTAAATAAACAACAAACACTACGTAAATGTAGCAATAGTAAACAGGTTATGTATTAAACAAATCACTCAAGGTAAACTACACTAATGACGTGAAACAATACATATAGAAAAACAAGCAATGAAGTTGCGCTTGGTTTTGTTGCTTGACCTTCGCTGAGTACCGTAGAAGAATCTTGATTACAAGAAAGAGTGCCCGGTACATTGAATACATGCTTACAATTAANAATTAAAAGTAACTTTCATGTAAAAATTATGTATAACAAAAGAAAAAAGAAATAATACTTTATGCATTTTATTTATAATATGCATTACATAATACAGTAAGTTTTATTACGTACTTTATTATAAACGCTTAATATAAGCATTAAATGTGTATCTTGCATTATAGGAGTTTCCTATAATGCAAGGTCTTATTTTAAGATGATTCTCCTATTTTTTATTCTTTCTTTGAATATCACTAATTGCTGCCTTTTTTTTTTTTTTTCAGAAATTTATATTTGAATACATTCTGTGTTAACTAATTTAGATTTTTATTGCCAAAAGACCCATACAAAAATACAAAATGGCTAAGAAAACTCTGGTTAAATCTGGTGTTTTTGAATATTTTACTATAACCACAGATGGAAAACATTTTGTGTGTCAATGTATGATTGAACCTGATGATGACAGTGATCCATGGGTTATTCTGGAAAATTAAAAAGAAAATTGTCAACCATTTTGCCAGTTTTTAATTTTTTTTTCACCACTTCAAATTATTTATTGCCATCATTTTCACTTACTAATTAATGCAGATGCTGGTAGCCTTATCAGTCTTATTTCTAACACATAAGCTATCACTTGTTAGAAATAGGAATCCTTTTTGAGTAACTTTTTAATGAATAATTCTGAATAATACATTTGATCACAATGTCTAAACAGTACTTTACAGGTTCTGTCATGTCAAAATTTTTATGCTTTAGTGTACTGAAAAAAAAACTAAAGTGAAAAAAAATTCCTTAATAAAATCAATCAGTCAATAAAAAAATCCCCAGTCTGGAAATGCTGGGTGGAATTGCATGAAAACTGCCTTTGATTCTCAATGTCACTTCCTGTTTTCCTGTCAAAAGTTGCCTTGTGACATCATGACATCACTAAGTGTGTGGTGCATGGGACTCTCATCATACAGCTTGACATTTTGCTTTTTTCCTGAAGTGTACTTTGTGATTCAATTTCATGCCAAATGTTAAAATAAGCAGACTAAGATTTTTATTGACACTTTAATAAAAATATTTCCTAGTTGCAATTTTGTCACTATACAGCATGACGCCTGATGGTCATAATGAAAATCATGAAAAATAAGTACAGTAAACTCCCGATTATCCATGTGCGGATTATCCGTGCATGAATTTAATTTAAAAAAAAAAAATAATGTGTGTGTATTTTTTAAACAGTTGCTCGCTTTCATGTTTACGCATCCTATAAGTGTGCACGTGTTCATATTTAGATGTTTGAAGTGGGTGGTGGGGATATCTGAAGTCAGCTGGACTGGTTTTAGTTAGGCCACTTCTTTCGCATTTGACGTTTCTTTTCAGAGGAGAAAACGATAGTGAGTACATTTATACAAAGTTTTGTTTAGTTGCATGTTATAATACATATCACAATTTAAGATTTGATTATATGTATGTGTGTATAATACATATTATACATAATATTTTTTTTCAAATAAATAATTATAGTTCAGATTATCCGTGTTACCTCTCCTCACCATTAGCCCGGATAATCGGGAGTTTACTATACTTTTAGTTTTGATAGGAATGTTTCATGATTCACTTAAAAAATGCTTAATAAGTAGCTTGATNAATGGTACAGTACTGTAAATAAACAACAAACACTACGTAAATGTAGCAATAGTAAACAGGTTATGTATTAAACAAATCACTCAAGGTAAACTACACTAATGACGTGAAACAATACATATAGAAAAACAAGCAATGAAGTTGCGCTTGGTTTTGTTGCTTGACCTTCGCTGAGTACCGTAGAAGAATCTTGATTACAAGAAAGAGTGCCCGGTACATTGAATACATGCTTACAATTAAACCGAAAAGTAAAGGATTAGCAGAGCAATAATGTAATAAATCGGTACAGTGCAAAAGAAAGAAAGGAAGAGAGAGAATGAATAAATGAATGATTGAAATAGAGTAAATCTTTATAAAATTACATGTTATTCTACTCAAATTTTTTTCAATTTTTGAGATTTATGTTTTATGTAACTGCAAATTTACATAAGTCATCTGTTACATAACTGGGATATTACTGTAATAAAAATAACTGAAACTAATTGATTAATAGTAATAATTGACTCTTATGTTATCATCATCAGATGTACAGTGATTATTCTTTTCAGAATATTCTTATTAATAATTTGTTGATTTGTTGCATTAGTTACACACACATTTTATATATATAGGTATATATATATTGGTGTATGTATATATATACATATACATATAAAATGATGATATATATATATATATCATCATTTTAAATAGTAGATGTGCACTGTGTAACATGAAATACACAAATTGAGAAACTAATGGACAAATGTGTAACTTGGACAGCTTTCCAATGTTTTAATTTACAGTACATTACAACATTCTAAAATAATGATTAACATAATTACAACTTAAAATGGTAGCATTCTTATTGGAAGATTTTATGCATTCTAAGCATCATACAAACATACATTCTAATTTACTGCACAGATTTTTCACCTCTTATTTCTATAGTGAAGCATAATAGTTACACAAACATCCCTCAAATCAGAGATTTACTATATATGTTCTTATTGTAATCGGAATATTTATGTTAATTATTAATACATACACAACATAACTTTTCTAGTGACTAACTGCTTAAATTTATCATCACTATTCCTAAATGTTTATATTGTTTAATTTCATTATACACAAATGAAAATCCTCTTTACCTTCAGAATCCAAATCGAAATCATCGTGAGAGTATTTTTCTGGTCCATAAGCAATAAATATATCTTCCTCTCCAAAAAAATCTGACAAACTAACAACCTACATAAATATTTTATTAATAAAAAAATCTTTAGAGAAGAAGCTCTTATCATAAAAAAAAGTGGATAAACTTTATTGAAAAACTACATCATAATTAAAAACAAATTATAACTTACTTGCTTTCCACTTAAAGTAAAAACTTTTCTTACAGCTCCGGTATCCAGTTTTATAGCACTAGTAATATCATTCATAACTTGATCAAATGAATGTGCGGTTTTCTTATTCAGCAAGATTCTCACCGCCTTTCTGGGTTTTATTCCGTTGCGAATGATGGTTACAAGTTTGGGCTTTATGAAATTTCGTGTTTTTATTCCATTTTCTATGGGAGGATCGTACTTTGACAAAAGATTCTCTTCATGTTTTCGAGTTAGACTCCATAACGGCTTCTCATTTTTTACATAATCCATTTTAACAAAATGATCTACAGACGAACAAACATAATTCCCTCCTTCTTGAAGTTGATCTAATGTTGTTATTTTTTCTTTACCATCAATGGTATAGATGTGCCTGACTCCTTTCGGAAGATTTACTTGATCCACGAGTACTCTAGTGAGATCCTCCAGAAGGGCTTCAAACGTACGAATCTTTTCATGAGAGAGAGCGTAAACCAAACCCTTGTGGAATCGGTCGCCATTTCTGTAAAAGCGGACCTTCTTGGCTCTCTTTTCTTGGCTCAACTTCTGTAAACTTGTCCTCATCAGGCATCCATGTGCACTGTGAGTCGGACTAGCTCTACCATTACGAGAACGAAAGACACCAAACTGATCCTTTTTATCTTCTGCTCCACTGTTACTGCGTGAAGCTGTATTAGAAAAATGTTCATCATAAAGGCTTTCTGAAGCCATTATCACCTAGAAAAAAATATATATATATATATATATAAATATATAGAAATTTTAAATAGAAATTGTAGACATAAGCAATAACATTTACTGTATTTTTAAATTTTGGATTAGTACAGTATATATAGTATTTGTATGCAAAAAAATATTAAAAACAGACATTTAAGTGTGAATTTAGTAAGTAAATCATAATTTACTTTATAAAAACATTATATTAAAAATCAAAACAGTGTTTTACTAAAGTTGAAATAACTAGGAATTTTACATATTAGTATTTTTGGGTGAGAAACTCATATTTGGATAGGTTATAAGTTCAAAAAAACAAACAAGAACAATAAAACTATAACCACCACACAATAATTCTGAAATAAGAGAATGCAAGATTAGGAATTATACAAGAAGTTTGTCTAAGAGAGAACCAATCATTTGTTTACAGGAGGAATGGAGGAAATTACCAACCAAGGTATATTAGAAGTTAGTTGAAAGTACACCATACAGACTCATGTCATTAAGGCAAAAGGAATTCCAAGTAAGAACTAAAATTGCTAAGAAAATACTATTTTTGATATTTGACACACATAATATAATTTGTCTGTATTAATGTGACATACTATTCTACCAATTGCTTTTGATAGTAGTTACACCAGAAAACCAGATGAGATTAGTATAAAAACAAAAAACCAGTAAATAATCCATTATTGTAGAAATTAATTTATTAGTAGAACAAACGTTTGACAGTATTTAATATACAGCACATCTCAAGTATCTCAAAAATCTGAAATTTTTTAAGTTACCAACAAAGGCTCCACCATTAATTTTAAAGACAACTTCAATATTGAATGTACAGGTAGCTTTGTATGAAGAGAACTCAATCTCATGTTTTTGATTTTTATTTCTATTTTTTGTTATTTTTTTGTTAAATCAATTTTTTCTATTTATTTGTATTTGTTATTACTTATTTTTATGTATATTATTTACTCCTTGTTTTCTGCTTTGTATTCTAAAATCTCACTGCTGTCAATGGCTGCACACCTTAGAAGTATAAAGAAGTATATGTCAGGAGTTGCAATATGGCACAGAGTATTGGTGCCCAAATCACGTGCACATAAAATAAACCAGACTTGTAGGTAGTCAGGGGACTGAGAACTGAGTCAAAAGAAAATACAAAATGCTGAGACTATTTCTACAAATAGGCACAAGTGCAAGATTTGTGCATGCATTGCTCGCACTCTCTGAAACATAGTCTCATCTCAAAAATGGCTTTGCCATTTTACTTGTTTTGATTTTTCCTTGCTGATCTTCTATGCATAAAACCACCAGCACAGATTTAACAATCCATTACATTTAAATTTTGTTTTTCAAATTCTGTTTTACGTACAATTCTAAAATGCTAAATGGCTTAAATACTGTCAAAAACATCTGTTCTACTAATAAATTAATTCCTACTTGCTGGATTACTAATTTTCTTTTTGACTGTTTTTATACTTTTGGTAGGATAGTGTACATCATAATATAATTTATTTTCTGTTTAAAGTAGCTTCAAGTAGACTTAAGTTTAATTAAACTTAAATGTTTAAGGGAGCAAATGAAAACCTTAAGCTGTAATTTTCAAATTGCAGACCTGTACATTCCCACTCATTCATCTGGTTGTCTATCCTTCATTAATCTGGCGTTAGATAGATGAAAATCGATACCACATATGGAAAACTTGGGAGTAGAAGTACCAATTAACTATATAGGAACTTAGTCTGGACTAGACTGTTTTGCATTGTTTACTCCAAACAAGTGCGAGGTTTGCTGATTGGGGAAAAAGTGTCGCGACAGTCGAGCGGTCAGCACTGTCGTGTGGGAGTGAAAAAACTTTACCGAGACAGGTCCTCCATCGTATACCGTTTAATAAATATAGAAAATTTTCTTACAAATTCCTTGATGGACGAAGTAGCACCACAAAGCGCGCGGGTAAAGTCCGAAAAATTCAGTTTTCGTTACTTGTGGAAGGACGCTGCCGGTGAAATATTCCGTAGGCCCCAGGGCGTTGATCACGGCTTTCGGCGGTTTCTCGTTGGACGAACTGACGAATCTGTAGATCGCTAGGAGGCACCCAGAGAACGATGCTTCCACAATGTTCCAAAATGTTCTTTGTTTTTTTTCAAAGGTCGGGAGCACGTACGTTCAGGAGAAGAATCCCTAAGTATCCAAGCACCAAGAACGTCACATCCTATTTTTGCGCGATTTTTATAAGTTTTTCTGAGTCCCAGATCGAACATTCCGATAGGTCGATGCAGATCTGCCCCCATTTTCTAATTGGTCTCCCCTCCTCGTTACAAATTGTAATGGGATCAGAGCCCAGATCACGGGGTGAGTCCCCCGACTGACAATTTGATTCCTATCGAAGATGTTCGATCTAAGTACTCAAATTCATCTATCGTTTCTGAGAAATTCGTTTTTTCTCAGAAATTTCTACAGATATGACTATATAGGGACATAATATATTCGCCTTGCGTTAGACGGTTTCTTTTTACAATATAAAATAATGATTATAATAATTTAAAAAAACACTTTTTTTTATACAAAATTAAAACATTTTCTGTGCACGAATTTCGACCCACTTCCGGAGCCTCACACAAGTACCACAAAAATATCATTTTCCAACATAACCTCAATTTTATTCATACAAAAGTACTTAACCAATACATTATAAAACAATTGCATGTGTAGTCACTAATGTATCATCTGTTGTGCTGCTAATCCAAATGAAAGGTCTTTTCACCTATTGTATGTTTTAGCAATCCAAAAACATGAAAATCTCTAAGCAAGATCTAGTGAGTACGAAGGTTGAAACAGATGCTCAAAATGCATCCCTTAATAGTTACAACTGTCATACACAGTATAAAGCTATACACCGTTGTGCAGCAACAAGACACTGGTACACAGTCATGTAGTTTTGACATATTTGTGAATCACAGATGATTTTTGAGAGAGCCAGGTGTATTGCACTAGTGATTACATTAACCATGCATACAGGGTGCATAAAGATTTTTGTTTGTCTCAAAAAAAAGAGAGTCAATACCACTTTTCCTATTGGCAACCGCATGCAGAAAATTTTTGGATTTTAGTGGTAATGGATGTTGTCACTTCTCTCTTGTTCTGTTGTTTCCATCTGGTGGCAGTGACTTTCATCTGCCATCACAACAAAATGCCACTGTGCTTGTGTGTATCATTATGCATAATGAAATGCTTGTACAAAGAGTGCATGCAGCTAATGCCACTTTGGCAGCCATTTTTTGCCAAAAAGTCAAACCTGCTTCAGTGTGGCACTGTATTTTTATAATTACCTAATAATAGTGCATAAAAAAGTTTCTTTATAATATTTACATGAATATGTATGAAATTAAGTTACAGTGAAACCTCGGTATATGACCTTAATCTGTTCCTGGTGTTTGGACTTATACCGAATAGGACGTATACCAAACCAACCTTTCCCATAAGAAGTAACGTAAAAATGATTAATCCGTTCTCATGTAAAAAAAATGGCTAGTTTTAAACATCTCGCTTTCCTGGCTAGTTCCTGCTTAATTTTTCATGAGATCAGCATGTATCTTTTTAGCTTTCTCGCAAATAATTGCTTCTGATACACTCGCAACAGTTAAATCTCGAACATGCATGCCATCTTCATATTTCTCAACAATCTCTTTTTTCAGTTCCATTGTGATTCTAGTCATTTTTTTATTTTTCTGTTGCCTTTTTGCAATTCATGATTAATAAAAATAATAATATTTTACTTACAAATTAAAATAAAAAGAAATTTAACAAAGTTATAAACTGTGGCACTGCAAACATCTAGTCTGGTCTAGTACACCGATAGTGCTACTTGTTCATAGATGGC